TCACTCTCCTTCCATCTCTCTCTTTTTTTTCTTACTTTCATTCTTTCTTTGTTAATCGAGGCATAATTTATACAATAAAACAAGTTCAATGAGTAACTACCATTCAAACATGATACAAAACAGCTCTGTTGTCTCAATCTGTTTACCCCACACCTCTCTGAAGAGACAATCATTATTTTGGTTTCTATCAACATAGATTAATTTTGTATATACTTGGAGTTCATGTAAATGGAATCATATAGCATGCATAATTTTGAGCATGATGTTAGCTATAGGCTTTTCACAGATGTCATTTATCTAATTGTGTAAGTTTACTTCTATTCCTATCTTACAAAGGTTTTTTCCTCTTTTTATAATAATGAATTTGTGTTGAATTTTTTCAAATTTTTTTCTTCATTTATTGAAATAATCATATGGCTTTTCTTCTTTACTCCACTCATGTGACAGGTTACACTGATTGCTTTTCAGATGTTAAAACAACTTTGTATTGGCATAAACTCCAGTTGTATATGATGTAATATCCATTTTTAAAATTGCTGCATTCAATTTGTTAATATTTTATGAAGGATTTTCTACTTATGTTCACAAGGGATATTGGTCTATAAACCTTTCTATTTTTCTTTCATATGTTTTTATTTTTTGGTATCAACATTAGAGTAATGCCGGCCTCATAAAATGAGTTGAGAATGTGCTCTCACTCGGTGTTTTCTGAAAGAGTTAGTGTTAAATTGGCATTATGTCTCCATTAAATATTCGTAAATGCACCTGGGAAACAATGTGGACTACAAGTATTTGCAAAGGGATATTTTTGATTACAAGTTTATAAAAAATTAATTTTTTATTTATTGAAATAAGTTTCAGTTATTGAAATAACTGAAGGTACTTTCAATTTTTTTAATACATCTTGGCGTAAAATTGTTGATAATGTCTCATATTATACTTTTAAGGTCTGTATGATCTATCATGATAACCCTACTTTCATCTACGGTATTGGGTAATTTGCATTTTCTCTTTTTTTCTTTATCAGCTATGGTAGGTGGTTATCAACTTTATTAAACTTTTCAGTAAGCCAGTTTATGATCTTGCTAATTTTCTGTAAGGTTTGTTTTCCATTTCTTTGTTTTGTGTTCTTTGTATTACTTCCATTCTTCTGTTAGTCAAGTTCAATTTGCTCCTCTTTAGTTTCTTGAGTTAGATGCCTATATTATTCATTTTACACCTTTATTTTTTTAATTATAGGTATTTTAAAGTTCCAAATATCTAAGCACTGCTTTATCTGCTCCCATATATTTTGATATTTTATGTTTTCGCTTTTAGTCTGTTTGAAGCTTTACTGCTCTAGAGCTTTCTCTTTTGTTGCTTGTGCACAGTGATAAAAAAGAAAAAAACAAAAATGACCTCATACAGCCTGCACATTTGGTTAGTACTAACACTTCATATATTCAGACTGCTCCCAGCCTTTTCAGAACTTACTGCAGATCTTTTCTCCTCTTGCATACGTTAGAGTGTATAAAACCCCGTCCAGTTTCAGCTGCGCTTCTCAGATATCCCTTACACAATTTTCAGGAGTGCCTGTTTGTGATTCAGGGGTTCTTCTGTTTTTAGGGAAGCCCCCCTGTTGCTTTCCTTTGCCTCCTCCTATGCACACAATATTACTACTTGGGTTTTGTGTTGTCAATGATTTGTCTCCCCTGTTTGCATTTTGAGGTGTGTGGTGATACTGGACACAGTGTTTTTGCAGATATTTTTCTATTAGCTTTGGTTTTTAATATCTCAGTTGTTCTCTCTGTTTTTATGTGGGGATTCAGAGAGATTTCAAAACAATTCTGCTGGAGCTATCTTTTCAGAACTCTGGGGCTACCTTGATGTGTTGCCGAGCAGTATATGTGTACTATTTCATGTTTGTAGTAAAAGAAGTGTAGGGCTGATCTTTTCCAGAGAGGTCTACTTAGGAATGCTGATTACAGGGTCTTGATTATTTGGTGACCTCTGGAGTTGTCTCTTGCTATGATGGCTGCATTTTCTTTGTGTTAGAACTGCAGTTCTTTTCACTACTGGCTCCTAGTGTGTCAAGGTCATTTCAAGAGTCTCACAGAACAGCCAATAGTGAGGAAGGTCCTCGATAAAATGCCTGCCCCCTTTTGTGTTCTGTGTTGCTGTTTGGTGGATGGGACCCTCCTGGATTCCGACTTAAGGAAAAAAAAAAGGATAATTCAGAAAGAATGGAACCTATCCCTTCCACCCCCCCCCCCCATGTAAATGGGTATCTTTCATTAGCTGAATGCCACCGAATACCGGACAGGATTTTATAACCAAAAATGCCTCTGGCATACAAGGTACCTTGATAACTTTTAGAAATTATTGCCTATCATTTATTTGGTTATCTTTGAAAAGTGCCTATGCTTTATTCTAGGGAGTGGGGTGGTTGAATACAGTTGGGACAGCATTCGTGATCCTCAGATAATTCTTCACTCTATGTGTCATACTTAGGAGACACATTCTTTCCCCATGGCCATTTCCAAAGAAATGGCTACATACATAGCTCATCATCATTGAGAATCGTGCTGTTCAGCAGTTTCACACATTGTCTTCGGTTCAATTGTAGGATACTTGTATGTCTCACAAATTCACTAAGTTTTGCACAGAGAGCATTTTTTAGTGAAAAATGCTTGCTTCTTATAAAGTTAATACATATATTGCTATTTTAGTTTATAACATGCAAGTACTTTTCATTGAATCTTTATGATAACCTTGAAAAGCAGACATATCCTCCACTTTATAGATGAAGAAACTGAAAAGCTCAAAACTGGAACTCAAAAGTCACTGCCTTCTTAAAGCTCTGTAGGCAATTTATGACAAAGCCAAGGGGAAATTATTCAATAATTAGAATAATTACTACCAGTATCAGAAACCTCTATGCATGCCAGTAATTCAAAAATGTCTGCAGGGAACAAGGTCACATGAATGATTTTTAATAAATCAGCCTCAATTGGATTATTTACAGTTTAGAGAAAATTTTTAGTAAGTATATACTCATATTTCATAATATAGAATACACAGTATATGTAATGGAAAATAATATGCATTACAAAATAAATTTGTTTTGTGTTGAAGCATTTAACAAACACTTTGGAAGTTATTTTTTTGGAATTCAATTGTTTATGATTCTGAGTCCTATATTCTCTCCTTTAAACCATGCTGTCTCATGATAGAACTTTCAAAATGTTGTAAGTGGCTAAAGAGATGAACCAATTATTACAATTTAGATATGTCTGCCCAAACAAACTGGCTTGGTCTGTAATGATCAATTTACGAAGCATAAATACCAGGAAATGATGGAAAAGAATGAATGGGTAGTCAAGGATTTGAGACCTGATTTCTGCCATACAGGTCATAAATTGTCTTTAGGCTTATAAGGAGAATGACCGGTTTTCTCAGGAGGTAAATATGTGTATGCTTTATCAGTTTTAATAAAATATGACCTAGATATGTCTTAGACAATTCATGCTCCCTGACATCTACTCTCCTGGCAGTCCTCACCCCATCAACACTTTCTGTGGATGAATTTTGATGTCCTTACAATAGCTCAGGGCAGCCAGATTCTCACATACCATATCCACTCAACAGCCTGACTCTCTCTCAGGATTGACTGACTTTACTGTGTCATTTTTCCTACTAGGCTAACTAGGGAGAAATACATAATTCCCAGGAGCTACACATTTGGTCAAATACGTGCTGTCATCTCTCCCCAGAATCTAAAAACTGGTGTCCCTGGGAATCTTACTGCTTAGAGACTACCGTGAGGCGAGTTTAAAAACAGAACAGACTAGCCCATTGGTCATAGTCAGGGTGGCTGTGAATTCTTTATTTTGTGTGTGATGCTCAGTCTCCTTTATCTTCTGAGCATGTTCACCCTACATATCTCATTTTATTAATGCTCATCTCAATGAGATATTTTTCATATATTTTTCAGGATAAGGATTTGAAATCAGCTATATGACAAACTGAATACATACACAGATGTGTGTTAATGTACGTATGTGTGAACACATATTTTTAATCAACCAATGCAATATGGCAAAATCAAGTTGCCTTAGAAATTTTTATTTCAGAGTCAATCAAACTTGAGCTTTGTGTAGCAGCAAAAGTGCTGGCCCCCTGCCAGGGTGGGAAAAAAAAGGGAGGGGGGTGGGCAAAGGTTATTGGAATGTCACTCCTTTTTGCAGCAACTCTGGCCATACGCTGACTAGCAGCCCAGGTGTCCTCACTATGACATTACCAGTGTTATTGGCCTAGGTCCTTTTCAGGGCATTTTTTATGGGAATGGAAGACTTTTGTTGAGTCATAAAGCTACCATTTACCAGTTGTATGTTCTTTGTCAACTAGGCCTTCTGAAACTCTCCTGAGCTTCATGTAGTTGTATTATGAAGCAGCACCTTCTAAAGACTGACACTATCAGTCTACTGTCACAGGGCTGGCTGCCATATTGGTATCCACTCAATGATATTGCCATGATCTGATGAGAGACTTTGTCACCATGTCCTGGGACTCGCTTTTTTCTTTTCTTCTTAGCAATGTAGGAAACCAAACTGTATGTAAGCAATATAAAATACATGGAGAATACGTAGTAGTTTGGGGACAAATGGCTAATATTTCATTTCTTTAGAGTGTAGAAAAAAATTATAGACCTGCTACTTACAATATGTCCCAACTTGACTCAGATTTATCTCTGAAATATGTCAGGCACTTAGTGATTAACTTTGAAAATGGAATTGGACCAAGGATAGTTATCAGTATATGGAGGATTCTTATCAGCTGCACTATCTGTATCCAAAACTCTAACATGAAACCATAAATGACTACTGTTGATGCTTGAAGAGTTTGAGTCTTCTTAGTAATAATAACTGTGTATAAATGAAATCACCGTTTGGATGGAGAAAGAATATCCCATATTGGAAAGTAATCATAGCTTTTATGCTCGTGTGTGTGCGCTTTGACAGCTTTTTGGAGACTACAGCCTATTTCTTCATGAAACCAAAAATTGGAGAGAAGGAGGTGTCCCCAAATGTTTTCTTCAGTATCTGGCATGAATTCAGCTCTGACTTTAAAGATTTTTGGAAGAAAGAGAACAAACTCATTCTACAAGAAAGGTAGGTTTTTTTCATTTGCACAATGGCATTTTAAAATTGGTATTTTATTAGGTGTGACACCACTGGGGTTGCCAACTTTTATAGCCTGAATGAAAAATTAGATGGCCCTCAACCTGGGATATCAAGTCTAACAGGGTACTGAGAACTGACAAAATTTGGAGTTTGAATAAGAAGGGTTGGCACAGAGGCTATGATGCTACAGAGAATAGCTGGGAAAATGGTTTGCCAGGACCACCGTCTGGTAAAACAACTTCTGTGATGAGGAAACCCCAAAAAAAGCAGAGCATGTAAGTTGAGTGGAACAACCCTGCTGAGATGATAAACCTACTCACCTCAAAAGGCCAATAGCAAAGACTATATAAAGGTAAGATAAATCACTTGTGTTTTGTCTTGTTTTTGCTCAATTCATGAGATATTGTCCAAATTTCACCATTTGTGTTAAAGTTTCTGGCTGATGTCACCAAGAAACAGATGATCAATATTTTTTAAAAGATCTTTCAGGATTCTTGTAGAATTACACCACATTTCCTAAAGTAAATCTTTTTCGGGAATGAAGGGAAATTTTTTCACTTAAGTATATGAAATAAAGTCTTTGTCACTGATTATGAAATTCCATAGAGGCACATTAAATATTAATTCAGGAGGAAAGCTAGCCCTCCCAGGACAGGAGCCCCAAATAGCTGAGTCTACTGGGAGAATGAAACGAAACACAATCAGCACTATAAACCAAATGCTAAAACTGAACCAATTAGTATACTTTCCAAAATCCTTGCACTAACAATGACTTTGCTTTAGATCTTTAGAACACTTGCCTCCTAAGGGACTTTGTCATACCACAAAATTCCACAGTTTCTGCTTATTGTCTTCCTTACATACAAAACCATGATTATGCACCTAGTTTTCATTTGTAACTAGATTCTGATAGGACACATCCTTAAATCAGTTGAAATTAATTGCTGGCTTTTTTTGAGCACATAGACTGTGCTATGAGTGCTAACTCATACAATTAATTAGTTAGATTCCATGGTGTTTTCAAAGAAAAAACTTTATACCTCAGTGAATAGTAGATGGAAAAGAGAGTGGTCTGAACAGAAGGGAAAATACTTTAAATATCCACTCTAAAGACAATAAGAGTATTCTACTCCAAAGTGCATCATTATGGGTTAACCTAAAAGATGCAATTTTAGTCAAAAGTCTATGCAGGTGAGATAGGAGAGATAATTACTGAAATACAAGCACACTTACATTGTCATTCATGTCCTTCAAACTTAACTATATATTACCTTTTAAAAATTTTTTTTACCAAGCAAGGACCGTCAGTTTGGAAAATTGTAAAGAGGAAACTTTTTTTGACTTCAGCACATTACCTACAACGTCCCTTTATGTCCCTCACTGGTCCCTCTCCACGGGCCTTTTTCATCTCTAATCTCGACTTATTCCCCTGGAAAAGGGCCGATAACTCAGTCATACAAATGCACAAATCTGACAGATGACTATTTCTTTTTCTTCTAAGATATTCATTCATTCATTCATTCATTCATTCATTCATTCATTCATTTAATTGAGAGAGAGAGCAGGGGCAAAAGCAGAGGGAGAAGGATAAGCAGACTCCACACTGAGCCCAGAGCCTGACACGGGGCTCGATCTCACCACCCTGAGATCATGACCTGAGCCGAAATCAAGAGTCAGATGCTCAACCGACTCGAGCCATCCAGGTTCCCTTGACAGATGAGTATTTCACCACGTACAGCTTGGTGGCAGGGGCTAGAGTCCTAAATGAGAGTGGAAGTGAGAAGAGATAGGCGTGAACAAGACAGAACTGCTGGCGCTGTAGTTTTGGAGTAACTGTTCTGATGGCACATCAGGGAAGTACGTAAATCACAGCAGAAGGTTGGCGTGTTCCTGTGGTGGTTCCTTGGGAAGTCCTGGGACAAGAAGGTGGGTGGACACTTTTCTCATAGTTTTCCTTTACTCTGTGCATGTGTACATGAGCTGGTGAGATGTCATCACAGGGGAGCTGTTGAGACTGACTAAATCAGTTGCACAGCTCCCCAAAGAGACTCAGTCTCATCCAGCCTGTGCTCCTTGAGTAGAGTTGTGTCTCTAGGGTAACACTTTGATACCAAGCCACTATTCCATGATATTTTATGCGTTTAACATGACCAAAACTAGCTTTTCTTCACTGGGTATCTCGTAAAATCAACCAGATGCTGCTTTTATACTTCATCCTGTGCTTGTCATGTTCTAGGACTATACTGTGGCTTTTTTGACTCAACCCGTGGTGATTCTGCTTTTTGACGCAACCTTTGGTGACTTTGCTCACCCCTTGGTGGCGGTGTTGTGAATTGGCAGATTACAAGTGCCCTTCACTGCAGACTTCCCATCGTTCAGTATCATTTGCTTTTAACAAAGGGCTAAGGAGGACTGTGTGGCAGGTGAGCCTGTGCTTCTCTGCCCTTTAACTTCTGAAATTTGTTACACCTCCTGGCAGATAGGCTGCTCTGATAAGCAAGACCATTGGTCTGACTCATTTGTAGAAAAACTTTGTCTCTTTCCTTAGCGTACGGCCAGTGACACCATTTCCAGGAAACAGTGCAAAATGAAAATGTGGGGCGCCCCTTGTTAAAAAATTATTAAACAATTTCAAGGCAGCAAGTACAGAGCCCTTCCAAAAGTGCACAAACCACACCCATAAGGCAGCCTTGCCCTAGTGTAAGCTTTGTATCATATTTTCTGTAGGTAAATGGAAGGGTATTTTAGGAATGCTTCATACCCTCAGACATTGATAGGAAGAGGGATGTGGTCAGTTAAATGTGTTCAACTTCTGGTACAATCTGTGATGATCTGAGTAGAACTTCACATAGCACTACAGATACCTAAAATGGGTATCTGCATCCCCGACCTGATTGTTCCTTTCTCTGTACCCTGTATTTATTATCTGCGTATTTTGTTTAGTCGGTTTTATACTATGATGATGCCTAATAATGTGTCTGTTTTTATTTTATACCATAACTATTTTGATATTTGCATTTTAGTCTTTATTTCCCAGTGAGATGTTTGCGTGTTCATTTCTGATGTAGCTCTCACTGTCACTAAGCCACAGTGCCTTTTCATCCTTCTGGTCTCCATAAATATTTGCTGATTTGACTTGTTACATCACTGCATTTCTCCCAGACATGGGAATAAGAACTTAGCTTATGAAGTAATGAACATGCTTTCCTACATAGCTTAAGCTTATCATTGTAAGGAATAATAATAAAAAAAAATTCCAAATACCTTAAGCAAAAAGAAAGGCATTGTTTAGACAGTCAAAGCACAGAAGGGCAGGGATGGAACTTGCATGTGGATTGTCTGAATACAAAAATTCTAACTGCAGTCTGTGGGGGTTAGTCAGGTGCGTCCATGCTGTCTCTCACTCTCTGTCTTTCTAAATGTCCTCCTTTCTCCTCCACTTCCTCCTCCTTCCTCTTCTTCTCCCCCTCTCTCTTTCTCTCACTCTATTCTCATGCTCTCACCCTCTCCCCCTCTCATCTCCCTACCACCACTCTCCTCTGTGGTTTTGTCTAGTTTCCAAGTCAGGCTATTCCTTTAAGGGTGGACCCACGGCCATTGGTCACAGCCATGGCTCCCATTCTCACAACCCAGTAGGAGAGAGCACTCTCCACCATCTAGAAACATTCTGAGAAAGAACTCTGGATGAGTTATGCCCAGTTCTGGATCAGGCACTGTGGCCAGAGGTGTGGGGTACCATAGTTAGTTCAGCAGTTCACAAACCCAGTTGTGCAGCCAGAGAGGAGGGCTTCCATAATTGACAGTCCCCTTCGTAGCAGTCACTGGAATTAGGGAAGAACAGTTTCCAACAAAAGTAAATAATAATATTACTACCCCAAATTTATTAAGCCTTTACCTGCGTAATTAGCAGAATGTCTTAGCATGGTAGAAAAAACCTGAATGGTGGTTTCATGATGTTCCTTGGTCTAATTTGGAATTCACAGATTGACTATCTTTAAGGTTGCAAATCCTGTAAAAGTATTTCTTATCCCATCATTTCTATTTGGTTCTGATTATAGGGTCGTGGTAACTTTGTGTTTTCTGGCTTTGTCCTGATGACTCCTATGATTGAGTACATATATTTCTTGAATTGGTGGATTCCTACACATCCGTGAAAGGAATTAAAAAGGTCTGCTCTCTTTCTAATTGTTGTGGTTTGGAAAACATGAGGATTTTTGAGTTAGCTCTTCCACTTATCAGCCTAGTCATAGAAAGTCATAGTTTCCTAAACTGCAAAATGGAGATAGTAATACCTCTCTTGCAGTGTTATTGTGTAGACTAAATGAGATAATATAGAGTATATAACAGTGTCTACATGCCAAATGCTCAATGGCTCTTCCTCCATCATTTAATATAAATGATATCCTGATCATGGCTACCTACAAATGTAACAACATATTGTTAAGGCATGTTAAGCATCTTAACATATTCAGTGGATACAAGGCATTTCTATGACTCAGTTACTTTGTGGGTAGGTAAAATGTCTTGATTATGAAGCCAAGGGCAAACTTTTGTTTGAGAATGTTCACACGGTCCATCCCTCTATTATTTACATCATAATATACAAAGGAATTCCCGTTTTGATGCTTTTAGACAACTGACCCATTGGTTTTGTCGTGAGTCAGAAAAAGTGTTTTTTCATGTACTTGCCACTAGGCATATGCAATTGTTAATGAGAAATCCTTCTCAAAAAAGAAATCTAGACTTGTTATCACTGAGCAAACCCAAAACATGAAAAATCGTTTTTTTTTTTTTAAGATTTTATTTATTTATTTGAAAGAGAGAGAGAGAGAGAAACAGCGTGAGAGGGGATAGTGGGAGAGGGAGAAGCAGGCTCCCCGCAGAGCAGGGAGCCCGATGCGGGACTCGATCCCAGGACCCTGGGATCATGACCTGAGCTGAAGGCAGTCGCTTAACCAAATGAGCCACCCAGGCGCCCCTGAAAAATC